CCACACACAAACAAACAGACACAAAAAACGAACCACACAGAAGATGCAAATTTTTTCTGACATCCTTAAAAGTGCCTCAACGGAGTTGGTTTGTTCTTCTTCTTCTGTTTTTTTTACGGTTTAGTTTTGTTTCGTCACCCTTCTTAAGGATGAATGGCGTCGCTAACCGAAGCTGACCGTGACCTGGATTCCTGGCTTCGGTGGTTGGGCTTTTGAGAGGAAACGTCTACATGGGCCTCGTTTGGCCAAAGAAATGAGTTTTTATGTTATTTATGATTCTATTTATTTATTTGTGAGGCTGTTGAGACGGGTTGTAACGTTTTGTTATGTATTTATCTATTTATCATGATTTCAAATCGAATTTCTTATTTTTTTGAAGGATTTTCTTAATTATTTGCTCCTCGTGAGGACATGGACATCGTAGTCCCAAGAGGAACTTGTATAGACTTGTATTTGTTGTAAAAAATGAACTTTAGGGCTAAACGAGCTATTACAGTTGAGTCCTGTAATAAAAACACAGTTTTCTTAAATAAACACCACTTGGGAATAGAGAGAAGATGAACATTTCACTTCAACCCTCCAAGGTCAAAAAATACTTGTTTATTTATTTATTTTTTTTCATAATATTTATGCAGTAATGTTTTCCCCCTCACAGTGATTGAAATGGTTTGTTTAAGGATCTGATCTCTCTAATCCTTACTTTCCTGACAGTCTACTCTGCTCTGATTGGTCCAGCTCAGTCTCATTGTGGAAACATACCCCTGTATACATTTCTGAAGAGAATGAAAAACATCCCAGGAGGTACGTTTTTTTTGCCGTAATTGTTTTTGCGAATCCGCCAGAGGCTAGGCATGGGCCGATATAAGATTTAGATGGAATGATAACCTTGGAAAAAAAAATATATCACGGTTTCATGGTATCACAGTATTATGATTACTGGTCTAAAATATATTCATTTTAAATGTCTGGGTAAAAAAAAAAGAAAAGTTTTTTACCTTTTGAACACAATATATTTTATTTTGAGAAACATTTAAAATATTTTGGTGCAGTAAACATGTCAGGCTAAATGATTCATTGACTTCTGCTGTCTTCATTTGCTTCAAAAACTGAATGTTTTTTTTTCATATCTACAATGGCATTTTTAGATATCTTTACTGCTGAAGATACTGTTGTCCAAAAAACAAAACAAAAAATGTCAATAAAAAATTGTACACATACCTTAGGAACAGTATAGCAGAAAATTTTGACGGTTTTAAAACCTTAACTTTCCTAAACCGCGGTATATCTTGAAAACGGTTATCGTCCCATGCCTACCAGAGGCCGCTCAATATACGCTTTTTCAGATCTCAAATTTCTCATGTGGGTGCCATTTACGTCTGCTCTTCTTGTGTAAATCCACCAGAGGTCGCTGTCAGCTGACTGACTGACTAAAACCCCCACCAACCCCCTTCCCTAAACCCAACCGACAGTGTTTAGAAAAGCAATCCAGAAAAAATGAAAAACTGATTTTTACTACATTTTCAGATATTACTATGTTCTCACTCTGTTATTTACTTGTTTATTTTATGTGTTGCCTTTTGTTTTTCTTTTACCTGCTTTATGGAACTGGGGTCTGTTCTTTGTGCCTCGCTTGAATGATCTAAGATGATTTTGCCGATCCTCCATTTGTTAATCTTGATAACTGATCTTTGGCTAATTTGGTTCTTCAAACAAGTTGGCGAATCAGATAAAAATGTTGGAATGAACAGATCTGAGATCACTACATGTGTTGTAGGATAGATGACATAAAATTTATAGGAAACGGTTTGTTAAATATGATACGCGATAACTTTCCACATTTTTTGTGGGCTGCAGGCTTTACACTGTTATTTGTTAAGAGTGTTTAGCAATTTATTTAGCTTTACATTCAGAGCGGATTTTCTTTAGTAGCAATCTGTTCAAGTTTATTAACTTGAATAGTTAATAAACCAAATCCAGCTAATTAAATAATCCACATACTAAGAACGGACCCCTGTTCTTTGCTAGACTTGAACACGACGAGCTACTGGGCAAACTGGTTACAAGAGAAAATCTGTCCACATGGAGGTAAGCGGTCAGCTGGTAGTGCGAAAAGAAACAATGTCATACCGCCCCGTATCGTTCATTTTACATAACCTCTGGCTACATAATTTGTCCTCTCCAGAAATGTATTCAGGGGTACATATACACAATGAGCCTGTGTTTGGTCAGGTGATTGTCCTAGTCTGTTCACCACTTAAGAAATGGGCATCAGAAAACAAATGCTTATTATTGTATTTGAATTTCAGCTCCACTGACTTTCAAACAGTGCTACGAAGAGTAAAAAAAGTGTTGTTTTATCATTCAATTTTAGCCGATTTGCTTTTGCAGCACATGAAACAGCATCTTATAGACGTTTTGACAACACAAACCAAGCTCCTCAGCTACACCTACAGTGTTTGAGAAACGAGACGTCGTTCCACGACAGCCAGTTAAAGCTCTAGACTGCCATTATGCAAATTTGTTCGAAACCTACACAAGTTTGTGCAAGAAGACTGCAATTACTGACGACGCATTAGAGGCAGTTGTTTAGCACGGAAATGAAACATGATTTGATTCAAGCATTACTATATTTTAGACACAATCACAAGTTACTTTTAAAGGTGAATACTATTATAAACCTTTTTATTTTGGTGGAGCTGATTAAAAGTTGCTTCTAATGTAGCTGCCAAATCAAACATCGTCATGCAGGCATGTCTGTGGCGGACCGATGTACCTGTTGCTTTCGTATTACTTTGTCTCGGGGCATGATCTAGGGCAGTCTATGAATATGCAAATGACCCTGTCTTTATTAATTTGCTTAATGGCTCTCTCCATGGGGAAGTCAGACAGTGTAAAAATGTGCTGATCTTTACAGTGAGCTCTGGAGCTCATTAGACAGCAGGAAGCTACAACCGCTGAAAACACATTTACAATGATGTGGACACTGTACTGTGAGTTTGCGCACAATAGAAGACAAGATTGTACACATTTCCATTCAGTCAGTAGGTTAGCAGACAGCTTTTTTACAAATAAGGACAACTCCAATCATGCGTAATGTACTATGCAGGAGTCTAGAGATCTTGAAGTGTATATATACAGCATATGGTGTGTTGAAATTCTTGATTCTGATTGGCAGATAGTCAGTTTTGGTCATGTTTAGAAATAAAGATGCTTCCCTTAAGCACTTCTAGTAAACATAGCATCTCAGTGATAGTTGACAGAGCCTTCAATTCTGTGTGTAATCTTAAGGACACTGATGTGTGCTTCACTGGGAAAAAACTATTTGCAAATACGTTCTGAAATATTAGCAAATAGGTAGCTAATACATGTTACTATTAGGTATGCCCATGCCATTTTACATACAACATCTCTTTCTTGCTTGCACTTCCATGACCATACCTGCCAACACTCCCGTTTTTCCCAGCAGTCTCTCGCATTTCAGACCCATCTTGCGTTTTGTTCTGTCTCCCGGAAAACTCCTGGGGCCTCATGTATCAACGCTGCGTACGCACAAAAACTTTGCGTATGCCAGGTTTCACGCTCAGAATCGCTCACGTTTGGATTTACTTACGATGAACTGAACGTGGGAATGTGCGCAGCTCCACGCCAGCTTTATGGCTGGCGTACGCACATTTTTTGTGCGTGTCTGTTTTATTTCCATTGGCGATTTTTAGAGGCAGTTGTGTTAAATTGCTCTCTACAAAGTGTTGTTGAGCCGTGCAATGGCAGCTGTATGAGACGGGTTCATCTAGCAGGTATATAAGGTTTCCATACCATAGAGTTGACCAGCCAAACATTAAAGCGCAACTTGCAGCGCAACTTGCTCAAACATGTCAAAAAATGTTGACATGCATTTTACGAGCTGCGCCACTGCAACTTTTAAGGGGACTGCAACATTTTACACATGTAAATCCCACTATTTCCTGTTTACTCCACTCAGTGCGATGTTCAGACCCAACTGTGTTAACCACATCAGCTAAACTGTCCCACTCAATTTTTTCTTTTGTTATTAATTCCGGAGAACAAACTTGCAAATAACACCGCTTTTCTCTGGTCTACCTCCGAAAGCAGCACCTCCAATTCACATTCTGTTCAAAGTTTCTCTTCTTGCTTGCTTTTGCCATTGCTTTTTCCTTTGGTTTTGCCAAAGTAGAGTCATTAGCATATTCATACGGGGGAGGAGGCAGGGAGGGGTTTTGTGCTCGTGCATGTTGCGCCTAGTTTCACGTTCATTCGGATGTACAAAAGAATATGCGTGGGATTTAGCGTACGCATTGTGTCATACATCTGAATTTTTTTCTGCGTACGCACATTTGCAGCTTTGTGCGTACGCAATGTTTTAGTATGATTTCCACGCAAGTCTTCGTACATGAGGCCCCTGGAATTTTATCGCGATGGCAAGCAGCTGCTTTCTTTTTTATTTATGTATTTAAAAAGCACATTAAAGCTGATATACAACCTGTAAGATGACAATACAACACTTACTATCACAATCATCAGCACTTTTAATAGTTTATTTTACTGACTTATAATATGCTGTTGTTCTATTGGAGTTTTCATTCCAAAATGACTGCCCTCTAGTGGCTGTTTCCCAAATTACACTAGAGTGTCGCCTCTTGGTCATTCTAAGCTCTTTGATATGGTTGTCGTTAGATGCTGATGATCTAAATCTAACTTAATATTAACATCTTTTGACTTTGTATATGTGCTGGGCATTTCAACAACAGAATAATAAATATGTGTGCCTGTTTATTCATTCGTTCATTCAGTTTCGTTCGGCTTAGTTCATCAGTGGTCACCACAGCGGAATGAACCATCAACCTATCCAGCATATGTTTTATACAGCGGATGTCCTTCCAGCTGCAACCCAGTACTGGGAAACAATTATACACTCTCATTCACAACCAATTTAGTTTACTCGATTCACCGATACTGCATGTCTTAGGACTGTGGGGGAAATACACGCACACACGGGGAGAACATGTAAACTCCACACAGAAATGCCGATTGACCCATCCGGGACTCAAAACAACAACCTTTTTGCTGTGAGGCGGCAGTGCTAACCACTGAGCCATTGTGTCGCCCTGTTCATATATTTATATATACATATATTTCAAAATAGCAACAAAAAAAAAGGAGAGGAGGGGAGCTTCCAATATACATGGTGTTAGTATTATAGATTTCTGCACAGACACTGACATTATAAAGAGGAATTTCCCTGATCTGAAACAGATTTATTGTCTCTCTAGAACTATAACAAACAATGACATTCTCTCCAGCTCCATCTTTAAGGTCATCTCTCAGACCTTCTCTTGAACCCTGTCCGCTTGCGTTTTTGTTTTCGCTCTATTTCAGATGCTTCATGTGACCCTGTCCTCCAACGCTCATTCTGACTCCATTTCACGAGGGTTTTCATGTCCTCGTGTGTCTAGTGTGTGTTAAGGTAAAGCGAATTTTAATTTCCCCCCATCTGAGCTAAATCATGTTTAAATCTCCTGTCCTTGTGACGTTAAAGTCACGCTCTGAAAATACTTAATCATGTTATCCAATCTCTCACTCGCTGTTTCTTGTTCTGTTCTTCATGCTTCATATCCAGAATCTACTTAGAGTGAGCTTCAATTCGCATGCCGTAATCTACAAATATTGGATTTTCCAAAAGCACATTTGTAACTGCTCTCAGGTATGACTTTGAAATGACCCAACACTCCTACAAATGATTCGTGTTGTAGATCAAGTAAATAATGCTGAAAAATGCTGAGATTGAGGTTTAAAAGAAAGCTTGTGGTTTGGTAAGATGCATTATTATTATTATTATTTTAACATAATGTGTATAATCGGGAAAGAGCATCTTCTGGAAGAAATTACTTATTTTTGTTCATTCATAAGAAGTTGATTGGTTAAGCTGTTGTGGTTTGCCAATGGTCATTTTCTTGTGATTGACAGGTTGCTCCGCCCTCACACCAGTGTTTGCATCATCAGAGAAGAAAAGAGGAGAAGAGAAGAGACTTATCTACAATAATATCAGCGTTCTGGTGCAGGTTTTATGTGTCAATGTTTTTAAGACAGCTAGCTCTCTGCAACTCTCACATGGTCACCCACTGAAGCTAAGCAGGGCTGCGCCCGGTCAGTACCTGGATGGGAGACCACGTGGGAAAGCTAGGTTGCTGCCGGAAGTGGTGTTAGTGAGGCCAGCAGGGGGTCTGTGTGAGTGCTAATGACCTAGTATAGTGACGGGGACTCTATACTGCTCAGTGAGCGCCGTCTTTCCAATGAGATAATAACCCAAGGTCCTGACCCTCTGTGGTCATTAAAAATCCTAGGATGTCCTTCGAAAAAGAGTAGGGGTTTCATCCCGGCATCCTGGCCCAATTTGTCACTGGCCTCCTAACCCTCCCCATATCATAATTGGCTTCATCACTTTGTCACCTCTCCACCAATCAACTGGTGTGTCGTGTGCTGTCTGGTGCAAAATGGCTGTTGTTGCGTCATTCGGGTGGATGCTGCACACTGGTGGTGGATGAGGAGTTTTCCCCCCATTGTGTAAAGCACAGGGGTGGTCCACTACGATATCATATTTTAACTTTAGTGTCTGTGTAATGTAGCTGTGTGAAAATAAACAACATCTCTGAATTTAATGAGCTCAAAGTTCAATTTAAAGGTGGACATTGGCTTTTATAGAGTTAGCTTAGCAAAGCCTAGAGCGAACGAAGATTGGGAACTACAAAAAAATACATCCGGGCTTGTGAGATCACAAACACTTCAGGTTACATGCATGCACAGTAACAGGCCAGCGCCAGATGTGCTGTAATATTATAGCAGAGAAAGCTAAAATGCCATCCAAATGCTTCCACATAGCAAAGAATTCTGGCCCAGATTTGGCATAAATCTGGCACAGCAGGTATTCATCCGGCACTGGCATAAAGCATGTGGGCCAAACATCACCCTGTTTTTGCAGAGGTGGCACCATCTTTAAGGTGGCACACAATACTTGGGCCAGATTGTAGTATTTGGCCCAGATGTTAATAATTGATATGTGGGATATGTAAGCTTGACCCAAATTTAAATACCTTGTTATTATTTTCAAATAAAAATAATCTACCTATCAGGTCACTTCAAGAAAACGCACAATGATTCATGGGTTTATTCATTTCAATTGCAGTTGTGATTCACCAACATTTCTGGCCCAGTTCAGGCTCAGTTACGGGTTATTAATTTGGCTGAGACTTGGCCCAGATATGGTTTGTGTTTAGCCCTTGTCTGGAAGACAGACTTGGTCCAGTCATGTACCGTAATTCATTGCGGCATGTGGGCCGAGCAAAAGCTGATTGTGTGGGCCAGAGCTGGGCCAGAGAAATTTTGCAAAGTGAGCTGCTATTTCCACAATGCTTCTTCTGCTTCTGTATTTGGGTTTCCAAGGGACACGACACAAAGAGAGTGTCCCAGAGAATTGCAAGACATGCACATTTTAAAGTATTTTACAGAACCTTGTTGAACCAAAAACGTAGCAGATGAGTGTACATTTGCAGATGAGTCTCAATACATTTTTTTTCCTGTCAAGTACTACCTTCTTCCTTTCTGTGTAAAACCAAGTAAAAATCATTTAATGAATCATTTAAAGGAAACAAAAAATGTCAATATGTTTTTTTTTTTTTTAATGAAATGAACAGAGAGTTGTATTTGATATCAAAACTTCAATGCTGAAACAAATCTCCATTTATACATTCATAATAATTCACCTTAGTCTCTTTAGTCATTAGTGATTGCCAAAGCGTACTGAACCAGCAACTTATCCAGCATATGTTTTACGCAGTGGATGCCCTTTCAGCTGCAACCAAGTATTAGGAAACATCCATACTCACTCATTCACACACTCATTCGGCCAGTTTACAGTAGTATATTCAATTCACCTATAGCGCATGTCTTTGGACTGTGGGGAAAACCGGAGCACCTGGAGGAAACCCACACCAACACAGGGAGAACAATCAAACTCCACACAGAAATGCCAACTGACCCAGCCACAACCTTCTTGCTGTGAGGGGACAGTGCTAATCACAGAGCTAATCATGTGCATTCACTAAATATAGCTTAAAGTTTGCTGCTCCCAAACACTAGAATGCATTGAAATCATTTACTGTCCCTTCTTATCATATTACAAAAAGACAGATTTTTTCCTCAATTGCTTTTTGAAGTAAGTTTATGATTGAAACAAAAAGGTCTGCCAGTGGGCTCAAAAATTTTAAAATATAAAATAAAATAAAATAAAATAAAATAAATAAACAAGCTGGCAATTGTCAATTGGAAATTAGCAATTTTCATAAGGCATTCATATATATTTTGATTTAAGCATACATTCACTTAATGTTATAAATATGTTTCAGTTTCTTTGTTTCATCTAAAGTAAACACATTTTGTTTAAATATTTGTATAGAAATAAAGCAAAAATACATTCAACAATTACTGCCATAACTTGATGAATTTAAGATTTTAGAAGCACAAATGAGTTCTTATGAGTATGGGTTATTAATATGATTGTTTTTTTTTTTTTTTTTTTTTTTTTTTTTTTTTTTAAGATCATATTTAAACTGTGAGTTTTGTATTTCACATACAATCATTTAGAATAAATAGTGGTTAGCACTTTTGCCTCACAGCTAGAAGGTCAATAGTTTAAGTCCCGGCTGAGCCAGTTGGCATTTCTGTGTGGAGTTTGCATGTTCTCACTGTGTTGGCGTGGGTTTCCTCTGGGTGCTCCGGTTACCCCCACATTCCAAACACATGCGATATAGGTGAATTGGATGAACTAAATTGACCTTAGTGAGTGTGTGTGAGAAGTAGTGTGTATGGGTGTTTCCCAGTACTAGGTTGTGGCTGGAAGGGCATCCGCTGTGTAAAACTTTTGCCAGAATAATTGGCAGATCATTTTGCTGTGGCAACCTCTGAAATAGAGATTAAGCCAAAGAGAAAGTGAATGAATGACTTCATGAAATATGTATTTTTCAAAGCAAACAAAAGAAAAACTTTAATAAAACAATTAAAAACTTAAATATATATATTAAAACACTTTGCAGATAACTCTTCGGTTGATAAAGAAATGATCTAAGTGCTCAGTTAATTTATTGATTACTGTAATACAGATACATTTAAGTTCAGTCAAGACTCAAGACGTTTATTAAAGTAAATGAAAATCAGCAAAATATATTAAAAGACAAATACAAATCAAAGCCATTTCTTTTTATAAACAGTGCATTTCACTTAAGTAAATTACACTAAAGATGAAATAATGATGTTAATGAAAATTAAATTTTAAATGGATAATTTAAAGATAGCATTAAATATGCATGTTTGAATTAACATGAATCATACTGTGATATACGCCTACTGTATAATATGATACGGATTTTGGTCAAATCTCCCACTAAGCCACTCTCAGCTCATACTTAGTCATGATAATGGAAGCAGAAACGGCATCATATGTCAGCGTGTGTTTCATTCTGTGGCTGCGACAGAAGCAGGTCAATGTCTAAACATAAATTTTTATCTCGGTGTGTCAGGTAACACATCTATTACCATTAATATACGCGGCACAGTGTTACCCTGCAGAAAAGGTCATAACCTTGTCATTTTCCAGCTCGATAGCACTCTTCTTGCTCTGGGAACACAGGTGCCCTGTGACCAGTCATGGAAAATATATTAGATTTAACACAATTGCAGAATAGATAACGTTATGAGCAGCTGTCTAAATGATTTTATTCATGATTTGACTATTACGCTTTTTATAGTTACTTACTGTCAGTGTAACTGTGACAGCTCATTTGATTTCTGAATTATTTAGTGTAACAGGCAGTTTATGAACAGCCAGCGTGAAAAACAATATATAAATTAATAATACTATAGTGTAATATAGTGTGTTTGAACCATACTATAGTAAAGTATTTTGAATAATCTGTTGTATTAATTAGTTGCTACGATAACACAATAACTGTAACAATATAACCAAATAACCCAATACAGTTTTTGTAATATATTACTAGCCTACAATACACCACATTTTTAATGTACTATAATCTAAAAGTATACTACGGTATTTACTCTTTATGAGACACAACTTAGTATGCTGTAGCATATTCATTAACAAAGTGCTGTAAATATCTACTATAGCTACTGACATTTTACTATAATGGTTCAAGAACATTATTTACTGTAAATTACTTTAGTACTGTATATGGGAAAACAGTATGACAGCACTTACATAAACGCACCAGAGACGTTGTCTTTATAAGAAATTTACATTAATTTTTGACTAATAAGAAATGACTTTAAAGGATTTTTGATTTTTTTTTTTTTGTATTCTATGTCGAGATTTTTGAAAAACAACTGACGAATAAGAATTGAATAAACTATTTCCAGTCTCTTTTATATAGCATGAGCTGGTCAAACGCCAGCAGAACCGATTCGTGATTCAGTTTGATTCATTTGAGCGCCTCACTCACCCACTGAATCTTTGAACAGCTTGCTTGATGTATTGAAATAATTCACACTACAGCGAAACCCCATTCGCTCACATTCGAACAGTTCATGAATCATATGAGCTTTTCAACTCACCCAATGAATCTTTTGAAAAAAAAAACAGCTCAGCTTAGCTCATTCGTTCAAGTTCCAAAAGGAATCATACGACCTTTTCACTCACACAACGACTCGCTAATTAACTGAATCGTTTAAAGCGGTTCTTCTGAACTTCCTCGTGGAGCAGAACGCAGAAACTTTGTGGACAAAAATTACAAAAGGAGCGCTGGATAAAGTAAATATTGACCAGCAATGCATTGAAAAAACACAATACGTTTGATGACAGCGATGAAGAAGTTATGAAGTTCAACACCTGCAAGCAACTTGACCACACAGAAGGTAAGTTAAACACTTTCAAAACAGCACGGGACAACTGATGCACTGTAGATTATCGAGGTAAAGTTGGTTTTATTCGCACATTTGGACTTTCTCCTCAATATTATCATTTCAGAAAATTGTTTTTTGCACTTTAGCAGCCAACGAATATTAAAGTACATTAATCACAGTCAATTAAATAGGGTCAATGTTGTTTTGAGGTCAT